GAACGTTGGCGGGGAACGTTGGTTTCCACCGTCACTGAAGCAAGCAAGCCTCATGTTAGTTTCAAGCTGCCTGGCTGCCGGCCGCCATCTTGGCTGACAGTTAATTTGCATATCTCGCTGATTAACGAATGGGAAGGGTAGCGGTCATACGCCAATTAGCATGTTTCTCTTTTATTAGATAGGACTAGAGGTCCAATGCATTGATTCTTGCACTGGTGGGAGGTCCCTTGGCCTGGCCTGTGCCCTCTTGCAATCCAGGACCCTTTGGAGGATGTTGGAGGCCTGGTGCACAAATTCGGCCCGATCCCCACAGGCCAGGCTGAGGAATCCCACAGGTGCACGAATTTGTGCACTGGGCCTCTAGTATGCATATAAGATCTTTGGTTAATCTCTTCCCGCCCTACCCCCTACCTCCTTCCCTCTGAGATTCATCAGTCTGTTCCATGTTTTCATGCCTGTGCATTGAGTGTCTGCCTCCTTGTGGTCACGGTGCGTCATAGCTACTGGTTGAACAGTCGAAAGGTCGGACACTTAGCATATTAGCCTTTTATATATATATATAGATATACTTGAGAGTAACAAAACAGTTCCTCTCTTAAGCTATTATACATGCCTGACTATTCTTATAATTATAATTTTTGAATTGGCCTGATGTTGGCTTTTTTCCTGTGATTTCATACATGTTGATGAATAAGAGCAAAGAGCATTAAATGTTATCTATTTAGTGTCCTTTCTTTAATATTACAAATATTACAATATTTATATAATTGTAAATTATAAATTGTTTCTATATTGGAAGAGTTAGGTGGGGAAGGATCATGGCCTTGGATAAGAAGTTTAGTTCAGTGCCATGGTTTGATTTTTAGTCAGCATTAGCAGTAATTCTCACTCTTTTGTGTTTCATAAGAATAATTTAAAAAAATGAAGCCTGTGAGTTTGTACACGTTGGTAACAAAGGTTAGAGATTTTTTTTTGAAAATAATTTATTTGGTGAAAATCTTGCTAGTTCATTAATTTTTATTTCTTGTCAAAAAGAGATACCCTTCAATTTTATAAGAAGCTGTAAATTATATCAACTAACCTCAGGGCCAAACTGCTCTTTCTTTTATTTACTGTATGTTTATTGTTTATTTAGGCTTTATCAAATGGTGGCCCTTCAGTAGCAAAGCCATGGATGATATTTTATTTTGTGAATACATACCCAGTATTTTTTTCTGGTTTGGTCAGTGGGACATGGGAAAAGTAGTCCCGTTTATTGTATTAAAGTTCCAATTTTATTTTATTTTATTTTTTTACCATCTTTGCTTTTCTAGAACCAAAGTACAGACTAAAGGCTCAAGTTCCCTAGTCATAGAATTAAGTAGCTAGAAGGTATATATTTCGTGTCTCCAAACAAGATAGTGATGCTCTTCATCTAAGCAGCCATAAACCAGCTTGGTATTTCATTTTCATTAGTCAGGTCAAAAGTTCTGGTTATCACTAATGAGTTGGTGACAATGTTAAAACTTCTTTCTTTAATTAAATATTATGGTTGCAGAATAGTTTCTTTCAATTCCTTTTCTAGGCATTTTTAAAAAATATATTTTATTGAGTTTTTACAGAGAGGAAGGGAGAAGGATAGAGAGTTAGAATCATTGATGAGAGAGAAACACTGATCAGCTGCCTCCTGCACACCCCCTACTGGGGATGTGCCTGCAACCAAGGTACATGGCCTTGACCGGAATCAAACCTGGGACCCTTCAGTCCGCAGGCCGACGTTCCACTGAGCCAAACCGGTCAGGGCTGTAGGCATTTTGGTATGGATTTTGTGGTTTCAGTGATAGACTTTTAGTGTTCTTTCTATTCTACACGAATCGGTGGGTCTTAGCATTTTGTAAGGTCACTGGTCCTTTAGTGAAGTGATGGCAACTCTGTAGAAGATGTGCATATGTGTGCACAGGTACTTACACTTTACCCCAGCTGTGGGAGCATGGACTGCCTGAGGTCCATCTAGATTAACAACCCCTGTTTGAGACTTTCAAATTGATAACTTAATGAGTTTGATCTATATTGGATCTTTTATAATTACGTTTTGGGTTCAGATGTTTTAAAATGGTACTTTAATTTGTGTTTGGGATTGTTCCTAAAAACACAGGGGGAAAAAATCTTTTAACATGATTTTGATGTTTTAATTTGCAGACAGGAGTATGACTTAAATACCTTCCTCTAGAAATTTACAATATGTAATACCCTTTGTAATACTTTAAGCAATAAAAAAAAAGAAATTTACAGTTTTAAAACTTGAATCAAATGAGTTTTTTCATTTTATTTTAGATTTTACTCTGCAGAAATCAGTCTAGCATTAAATTACCTTCATGAACGAGGGATAATTTATAGAGATTTGAAATTGGACAATGTATTGCTGGACTCAGAAGGACACATTAAACTCACTGACTACGGCATGTGTAAGGTGAGGGAAAATTCTAGTTATTTGAAAGCTCTCAGATGCTGCTAAGATTGTTTTGGTAAAATAACTTCATACTTAAAGATGGAGAAATGATTACTACTTTGTTTAGGATACTTTTTGGAATTGTAGCACAAAAACAAGTATATAGGGTGGGGCAAAAGTCGGTTTACAGTTGTGAATATGTAAAACACAGTTTACTCTTTTGTTTATTATTTTCCATATGAACAACTGTAAACTTACTTTTGCCCTACCCTGTACTTTTTTTCTAACCATTTACAGAATTCCATAGTTTCTGTGTTATATGTCCTATAATGAGTTAAATTCTACATATGCTCTGTAACCTTTTTTTGAAAGTTGTGATATTATTAAAATTTTGAAGATAAAAATTATCTACAGCCCCTCAATGTTATTTAACACAACTACTTGCATATCACCTTCCAGTTTTTGCCATTTAATTGTAATTCTCAATAATGCATTTAAAATTTTCCTAGGAAATTTATCTCTTTTTATATTTAAATTTTAAATATCTGACATAAAGTGCAGTTCATTTTGAGGACATGTCCTTCATTTCTTGGTGTTTTATTCTTTTTGTAACACTGTTTTGCTTAAAGGTTCAGTCTTTTCCCACAAAATGTGAAATGAGTCCCCAGGAAATAGAATATTCTTATTTTATGACTTAGAGTCAGTATTTCAACTTTCCTAAAATCAGACCTCTTGCAAATATTGGATGGATTTCTTTTCCTTGTAACAATTCCTTGGGAAATCTAAAACACTAAAAAAATTTTATGTAGTTTCTACAGAAATACTTCCTTTAAGTTTAATTAATTTAATCAATCTCTTCACTTTCTCACTAGATGCTTTTATATAAAGAGTGCTTAGAATAGTGATGACTAGAGGCATATAAAAACTTGAATTAATATCTTCAGGCTTATGTTTGAAATATTTTGTGAACATTGATTTTTATGGACTGAAAAACTTTGACTATTTTATGATTTATTTAGTAGAGGCCCAGTGCACGAAATCATGCACTTGGCGGGGAGGCGGGGTCCCCCCTTAGCCCGGCCTGCACCCTCTCGCGGTCTGGGAGCCTTCAGGGGATGTCCAACTGACAGCTTAGGCCTGCTGTCAGTCAGACATCCTTATTGCTGCTGCAGCGGTGGGAGAGGCTCCCACCACTGCCACTGCGCTTGCCAGCAATGAGCCCCGCTTCTGGTTGAGCTGCACTCCCCCTTTGGGAATGCACTGACCACCAGGGGGCAGCTCCTGCATAGCAACTGGTTGTTCCGCCATTTGGTTGATTTGTATATTAGTCTTTTATTATATAGGATTTATCAGCAGGGGAATTTTAATAGTAACATCTCTGTTACGCTGTAGATAATTTAGCTGATGGGCCTATGTTTAGATAATTCAGTCAACAAGTGCATGATTTAGCATAGCTCTGTTACAGGTTAACAGACTGCATCCCTTGCCTCTGACTTTTGCCCTGAAAGTCAATGTCATTTATTATTAAACGATATGTCAAGTCATTGCTAATAGTACCAAACAACTTAAGTCACAGTCATATTTCTTCATGTACAGAATAGCTTATATATCCCTATGAGGAATCACAAAATAATCTTTAGAGCCACAACATATTACTAAATATTTCTTCCAGATGTTTATAGAAGTGTTATAGCTTATAGGGTAAAATTTAAAGAAAAATACACACACTATGTCTAAAATATCTTAGGGACACATCAAGAACCTCATAACAGTGGTTGCCTCTAGGGAGCTGGAGCAAGATGTGTCGGACAGGAATGTGAAGAAGGCTTGATTTTTCATGTATAGCTCCCTCCCCCCCATTTTTTTTCTTTTGGAATTTTTACCATATAATTTAACATTGGGAAATGGTTACATTCTAGGTACATACATTCAGTTGAATTTTTTGAAGTCATTAACATTAAGAAGTCTGTACTTACATAGGGAATTACATGCTTCTAAAGTAAAGGAAGCAGATGCTTAATTGTATATTTAACTATCTTGTTGATTTCATTTAAGAAAACCTTATTACGCCCTAACCGGTTTGGCTCAGTGGATAGAGCATTGGCCTGTGGACTCAAGGGTCGCCGGTTCGATTCTGGTCAAGGGCATGTACCTTGGTTGCAAGCACATCCCCAGTGGGGAGTTTGCAGGAGGCAGCTGATCGATGTTTCTCTCTCATCGATGTTTCTAACCCTCTATCCCTCTCCCTTCCTCTCTGTAAAAAATCAATAAAAATATATTAAAAAAAAGAAAATCTTATTGCTTATTTTTTAAATACATTTTTATTGATCTCAGAGAAGAAGGGAGAGAGAGATAGAAACATCGGTGATGAGAGAGAATCATTGATCAGCTGCCTCCTACATGCCCCTACTGGGGATCGAGCCCACAGCCAGGGCATGTGCCGTCACTGGGAATTGAACCGTGACCTCATTTATGACTTAGTATTTGATCAGTATCTCACGTGTACTTAAAAAGGATATATAATCTCCATTTTGCAAGCAAGGAGTCTCACACATACTCTCTCTCCCTCCTTCCTTTCTCCACACAGAAACATTGGTAGACATATTCTCTGTATACATAATTTATATATTTTTTCAGCTCTAGCTTTTGTCCAAATCTTTCTGTGCTTACTAATTTTTTGTCCATGTAATCTATCATCCTATATAATAAAAACCTAATATGCAAAGTGTCCAGTCACCTGGTCGTTTGTTCAACCAGTCAAAGTGTAATATGCTAATGATATGCTAAGGCCGCTCAACTGCTCCCTATGATGTGCACTGACCCCCAGGGGGCAGACAGTTAACCGGTCAACCAGTCGCTATGACATGCACTGACCACCTGAGGGAACAGACACTCAGACCGGTAGTTTAGCTTGCTGCTGTGGTCCAGCCGATCAGGACTGAGCAAGCTGTGCCAGACACGCCCTGGAGCCCTCCCGCGCTCCCTCCCGGCTGGCCAACCTCCCTGGCCCCGATCGTGCACTGGTGGGGTCCCTTAGCCTGTCCTGTGCCCTCTTGCAATCTGGGACCCCTCAAGGGATGTTGGAGAGCCGGTTTCAGCCCGACAGCGGAACGACTGGTCGCTATGATGTGCACTGATCACCAGGGAGCAGACGCTCAATGCAGGAGCTGCCCCCTGGTGGTCAGTGCGCTCCCATGGGGGCAGCGCCGCTCAACCAGAAGCCGGACTCACGGACTGCGAGAGGGCACAGGCCGGGCTGAGGGCCACCCCCTCCCCCCTACACACACAAGTACACAAATTGTGTGCACCAGGCCTCTAGTTGTGATTAGGGATTATATTATCAGTTTGGGATGCTTCAAAACAAGGTGGCTTCAAAAACAAGCACTTGTTTCTCATGGTTCTGGAGGCTGGGAAGTCCAAGGTCAAGGTGCCAGCACTCTTCATCATTTACAGATGGCTATCTTCTTAGTGCATCCTCCATGGGGGTGGGGTGCAGGGCTAGCTGTCTTTCCCTTTTTACAAGGACACTAATCCCATCCTGGGGACTCTAAACTCATGACCTAATTACCTTCCAAAGGCTCTGCTTCCCCTATCACATTAGGGCTTCAGTATGTGAATTTGGAGGCACACAAGCATTCAGTCCATAGCAGGGATTGTGAAATGCTAATACCTTTGTCTATTTCTATTCTTTGTATTTTGAGGCTGTATTGTTAGGCATGTACAGAGTTTGTTATAATTTCTTGGTGATTGCTCCATTTGTTATTGTGTAGTTTCTCTTTTTATACAGATTACTGGGTCTTGTCTTAATTTTCTCCATCCTGCAGCTATTAAAGTACAAAACCGAAAAAACTTATGCCCTAGGAACAACCAGAGAGAAACATCATAATGCCAGCTGTGGTTATATTAGGAAGCAAGGTTAAAGTGCTTCTTTCCTTCATAAAATATAATTCCTTTTACTCTGATATAATTTAACTTTTTCTATTAAATTTAACTTGAATATAAATTATATTAAATGCAATTTTTATCGTAATTGAACTGATTTTTTATCAACATCTAATGAGGACAGATTTTCTTTGAGCTATTTCAATCCATGATTTTAATGTGAAAGGCAACTGTGCTAGTGATATTTTATTTAGGCTTAACAGTTGCTGAGCTTCTATAGGTGAAATAAAAGAGGTGAATTTAAAACAGCATTTTGGGTCTTATTGTTTCTCTTTTTTTCTTTTTTATAAAAGGAAGGATTACGGCCAGGAGATACAACAAGCACTTTCTGTGGTACTCCAAATTACATTGCTCCTGAAATTTTAAGAGGAGAAGATTATGGTAATAAATTAATAGATGGTGTTTTTAGCTATGTGCTAAAAGGGTGGTTAGATGTGGTACAAATTGCATTATAGTATACTATAATATTTTAAAGTTGATCTTATAGTATAAGCTATCCTGATCCCCTTAAAATCTACATTAAAGCCCAAACTGTGAAATTGGAGACAGTGGAACTTTGACAGTATTTGGGGGTACACATTTGAATCATATTTTATTAGTGACAAGCACTAAAGGGTACTAGGCACTATTCTAAGCAGTTTATATATATTACCTAAGTTAATGCTCTCAATCATATGATATAAACACTGTTAATTCCCATTTCACAGACGAGGAAACTAATGTATAGAAAGTTTAAGTAACCTCCTCAAGGTCATACAACTGGGAAGTGGCAGAGTAGGGATTTAAACGTCATCCCCATGACTCCAGAACAGCCTCTGGAAGATTGTTCAGATTTCTTGGGATATCTTTAAGACGTGCCTTATCTTAAGAAAGTATGACTGCCTTGATTCTGGACCTCTTGTTTCAGCAGATGTAAAGGAGGATGGGCACTTCTTTTTTTTTTTATTAGTTAAGGTATTACAAATGTGTCCTCATCCCTCCCATTAACCCCCAACCTCCCCCCCCCCGCACACTCATGCTCAAGGATGGGTACTTCTGACCACTGCTCATAATCTGATTCCAAGGTTCTTCAGGAATCTTTAATCAGCTAGCAGAAGATCAAGTTTTAGACCCAGGAAAGTTATTCTCAAATGTAACTTAATTATGTCAACAGAACAAAATATTAGATACAGGCTATGAGTCTGAAATTACACATTTATTTAAGAAACTGAATGTGTTATTTTTTTTAGTTTATTTTTAAAGTTATCTCTCAGGTACCTCCCCTTGTTGATAAGTGAAATATGCTTGCAATTCTCTATGCCTACCACGATGGTTATAATGCTCTAGAGTTTACGTTCTCATGTTTATTTTTTATTATGTAATAAGATGAATCTCAAATTAATGACGTTTAAGAATGCAGATTGGATAATTTAAACTTTCTCTGTTGAAGGTTTCAGTGTTGACTGGTGGGCTCTTGGAGTACTAATGTTTGAGATGATGGCAGGAAGGTCTCCATTTGATATTGTTGGGAGCTCTGATAACCCTGACCAAAACACAGAGGACTATCTCTTCCAAGGTAAGAAAGAGGAAAATAGCCCTGCCAGTGTGGCTTAGTTAGGAATCGTCCTGTGTACCAAAGTGTTGCCAGTTTGGTTCCGGACAGGGCACAATACCTGGGTTGATGGCTCGATCCCCAGTAGGGACTGTGTAGGAGGCAGCTGATGGTTGTTTTGATCTCACATCGATGTTTCTCTCTCCCTTTCCCTTCTTCTTTCTCTAAAAATCAATTTTTAAAAAAAAGGAAGGAGAAAATAATCTCGAGAATGTCTTCCTTCATGTGTGAAGCTTTGACTTATTTTATACATCTTTTCTACCTCTGTAGTGTCCATTTCCATTTGCCAGTTACCGTCTCATACTCAAAAACAGTTTGCTTCAGATTGTATATGGCAAACAGATTGGGGGAAGAAATCCTGTGGCTAGAGAGGACAGTCTTTTCTCATGAACCCGAGGCCACATACATAAGTTCAAGAACAATATGGGAAAAAGTAGAGTACCACGAAGATAAGAGGTGTCAAAAGGCGAAGATAAAAGCCCCACAATTGGGAATACAAAGAGTTGAACAGAAAAAAGCAGATAAGCACAGATCCCCAACACACAGTCAAAAAAGTGGGAAGACTGCCATGAAATTCTACATTTAATAATTAAGAACTCACAATAGGAATAAATATTTCATATAATAGCAAATCCCAGAGGCCATGGACTATGTGGAAAGATGTCCAACCTCACTAGTGGTTAGGGTATACACATTAAAACATTAATGAACTACTCTTTCATACCCCATACATTTGGCAAAAAATTTAAAGTGTTGTTAATACCAGTGCTGGTGAGGATGTGGAGCAGCTGGAATTCTTCATAGACTGCTGGCAGGAGTGAAATCGACACATCTTTGAAGAATAATTTGGCAATGTCCAGTCAAACCCAAAGTAGTAATATGTGCCACACATTTTCCAGATATTAACTCATTTACACCTCATAACAAACCTATGAAGCAGGTATTATTTTTACCAGTTTTACAGATGAGGAAACTAAGGCACAATAAGGTAGTCAAAGATAAAACAGGCATGTAAATGATTAAAAACGGAGACGAATGGGGCTGGGAAAGTACACAGAGACATTTAAGCAGTCTATGTAATGTCTTATTTTTTTCTGCTAAAATGCCTTGAATATCATAATAAAAATGTAAAGATTAAAGTCATGTAAAAGTTAAATATAATGCCATTATTTTATCTTCCTAGTTATTTTGGAAAAACAAATTCGAATACCACGTTCTCTGTCTGTAAAAGCTGCAAGTGTCCTGAAGAGTTTTCTCAACAAGGTATAAATCCTGTATAAAAAATCTTTAGTGGTTTATCTCTATATAAATGAGACTGGTAAGTAGAGGATCAAGCAATGTAAAATTCCAAAATTTCAGAGGATGTAATTTTTTCAGTTACATCTGGAATTTGTCTCTTCGCCAAATAGTAATTTGACAACATTAGATACTGAGATAAACTGTCCTTTCCATTTGCCAACATAATTCACTCCCAGCTGTATATTACATATGCTATTTTCAATGTAAATGATACATACTGTGTACTCAATTAAGGAAAAATTACATCTTTGGGGATGGTCTTAATTATACTTTCTGCTCTTATTTTCAATTTTCTTTGGATTCATATTCATAGAATCTACTTATTGAGCAGTTGGGGCAGTCGTGTTCTCTACCAAATTCCCATGTCAAAAACCCTATGATTAGATAACATTCAGAAGAAACGAATCTTCTTCGCTCTTAACAAATCTGAATGCATTCAGTTGTTTGTTGTAGATGGTAGGCTATAGTTTTAGGATCTATCTAAAGGTATGATTCTGAACTGTTCTTACTGATAACATTTATAAAACACCAACTGTATAGGTTTTTTCCCACACCAACAACCAATTCTCTGACTCTCCAGATACCAACTATGTGTCCTATATTTCACTTCATTTCAGACACTAACTACCTGGAGTTAGTATCAGACTCCATAGGTGTAAGGACTCAATTCCACAAGACTGCCCTCACTTCAGAGGCCAGTCACAAGTATTGGCTACCACTTCTGCCTGACTTGGCTATAAAATTGGGGGTCCCCCTCACTCCCCCACACACACTTTAGTTTCAATAATTTGCTAGAATGGCTCACAGAAAATCAGGAAAACATTTACTTACTATCACTGGTGTATTATAAAGATAACAAAGGAACAACCAGACGAAGAGGTGAGCTCCAGAAGGGTCCTGAGCACAGGAGCTTCTGTTCCTGTGGAGTTGGTGTGTGCCACCCTCCTGGCACATAGACATGTTCACCAGCCAGAAGCTCTGTGACCCCCATGATATAGAGATTTTTATGGAGGTGCCTTCACATAAGCCTGGTTGGTTATATCATTGGCCATTGGTGATTGAGCTCAATTTGTAGTCCCTCTGGAAATTGGGCTGAAAGTCCCAACCCTTTAATTGCATGGTTGGTTCCTCTGGCAATCAGACCCCATCCTGAAGCTATCTAGAGGCCCACCAGGAGTCACCCTATTAGGGAAAATTCAGGGATTATTAAAAGGGACTTGTTATGAATAACAAAAGACACTCCTGTCACTCAGGCTGTTAAAAGGGTTTTAGAAACTTTGGGTCCAACCAGGGACAAAGACCAAATACATACTTCTGATTGTGTTACAATGATCTTGGCAATCAAATCAAATTGTAGGTTAATGTGCATTTACCTTCTAAGATAAATGGATAAGATAATGATGACTTTTAATAAAATAAGAAATTGAAGCTTATTTTAAACTAGAGGCCTGGTGCATGAAATTTGTGCCACGGTAGGGTCCCTAGGCAATCAGGGCCGATCAGGGCCTTCCTTCCTCTGGCTGCCGGCTGCTGGTCGGGACCTTCCTTCATTTTGCACCACCCCCTGGTGGTCAGTGCATGTCATGCAAGCGGTTGAACTCCTGGTCGGTCAGTCGAACTTCCCAGGGGACAATTTGCATATTAACCTTTTATTATGTAGGGTGAGTGCTTTATGTGAGGAAAGTTTTAAACTAGAAACCTAAACTTTAACACAGTGAAAAGCGAAGGTCAGAGGTGTTAATATGCAAAATAAAATGCCTTTTATTGGGGGACTCGGGGCTGGGAACATGTTTTCATTTCACAGTAATGAATAAGCTAAGTTATAGGCCCCTTCCCAGTCCAGTGATTCAGTTGAAGGTTGTATCATCATTGTACACAAATTATACGTTGTTGCTGTAATTGGGCATAGAGCTGCTAAATTGAGCTAAGAACAAACTTGTGAAGTTTGGGGGTTTGCAAAATTTGACTTGTCACTGTAATCCATGGCAAAGACATAGCTGAATGCTGCTCAAATTATTCTGCTGCTCTATTTTTCCTCCCATTTCTCCTTAGCATGGATGGTTGCAGCTTCACTTTAGTTACATGACAGCTGGGGAAAGAGCCGTGAGGAAATCTTGTCACAAGCTTCAGATACTCATTTGAACCTAGTGTTGTACCTTCTAGAAAGGAAAGGTAGACCATTCTGATTTCAGAAATAAAGGTATCATATAGTAGACACAAAACACAGGTCACAAAGATCATGTATTCTAAAGCCTGATATTCACCCATTTTTGAAACATTTCTTTCCACCATAGGACCCAAAGGAACGATTGGGTTGTCATCCTCAAACAGGATTTGCTGATATTCAGGGACACCCGTTCTTCCGCAATGTTGACTGGGATATGGTATGTAAATTGTGATTGTTTTCTGTGTTGGATTTCATCATTATCTTGGGCCAAATTTTATTACCTTGAAAGAATGTTGAAAAACGAGTGTATCACAGCCTAAATTACTTAAAACCTCTCTCTAAACGCGGAACAGATTGTAATATTGAGACCTGCACCACTGCTCAGATTTGTAAATTACTTCCCTCACTGTGAATAGTGTTGTGGCACCTTACCTAGGGACTCACTTTAATAAGACTGGGAAACCTCTGGGCAGAGGGGGATTTTTCCAAGAATGCAGGCTTGAACTGTCATCCAATATGTCTTTCTAGATGGAGCAAAAGCAGGTGGTACCTCCCTTTAAACCAAATATTTCTGGGGAATTTGGTTTGGACAACTTTGATTCTCAGTTTACTAATGAACCTGTCCAGCTCACTCCAGATGATGAGTAAGTAATTCCATAGACTGAAATAGTGTCGGAGTTCTTTGACGGTCCCACTTTTAGAGGCTATATAATGTTTCATGATCAGATTACACTATAATTTATCTAACCACTGAGTTACTGGGTATTGAATCTATTATATCACTATAAATTATGACAATCATGGGCATTTTCTACTTTGACTGACATGCATTCTCTCTAATTCTCACGACCTTATAAACCTAGTTATTATCATCTTCGTTTTACAGATGAGGAAACTGAGGCTCAGAGAGGTTAAGCATAAGTTACACCGATGTGAGGGGGCAGAGCCAGGATTCAGACCCAAATATGAGTGGCTACGGCCTGTGCTGTTTCCACTGCGCTGCACTGTTTTTCATTTCGATGATGACTACGAGTTCCTGAGTATGACCTTAGATAGATTCCTAGAAAGGGAATTAGATCAAGGGGTATGGATTTTAAAGCTCTTGATGTGTATTGCCAAATTGCTTTTTAAAAATATTATATCAAATTATCATGTCCAGCCAACAATGATCTCATGTATTTTTTTATTTTTTATTTTTTTAAAAAAATATATTTTATTGATTTTTTACAGAGAGGAAGAGAGAGAGATAGAGAGTTAGAAACATCGATAGAGAGAAACATCGATCAGCTGCCTCCTGCACACTCCCTACTGGGTATGTGCCTGCAGCCAAGATCAATGCCCTTGACTGGAATCGAACCTGGGACCCTAGAGTCCGCAGGCTGACGCTCTATCCATTGAGCCAAACTGGTTAGGGCTCATATATATATTTTTTTGTGTTCGTGTTACATATTGTAAAAATACGCTTTGGAATAATTTGGGGATGTTTTGATCCTTTACCTGTCATTACAGATTCATTCTCTCGTCTCAAGGAGGCTCTTATAGCTCGGCAGACATTTATGTCTTGTTAATTCTTATCACATTCCTCATTGCAGCTGTTCTAAACTGTCTGTACATTTTAGCCCTGCCTCCATCACTCTTAATGGTTTAACTCTGCCTTAACTTGACTGCACAGCACAGATCAAGACCTCCCTGTTGTGAGCTTGCTCCCTTTTCAGCTGTCATTAGGGTGCTTGCATCTCAGAATTGCTGTCTAACTCTTCTCAACCAGTTTCTTCTTCCCCATTCTTGGAAAGCTGTCTGTCTTTTGCAAGGGGTGCTCTCCTATTTTCCTAGACCTGTTCCCTTATTTTCCTCCAGGATCTTATTTACTCAGTTGCCTCCATTACTCCACCTTCTTTAATTTCTTTCTTTCAGCTTCTTTCCCTCTGCCTACAAACATGCTCAGATATCCTAATTTTTTTCTCGTGAATCTTAGCACTTCTTTGAACTACCACATTCTTTCCTTATTTTCTTTTCATCTGCAAGCTTTTTCAAAGATAGTTAATAGATGCTCATGGTAAAGGAAAAATAAGCAGTATCTCTATCGAATGCCTTCATAATAGTCAACATTGATTGCAGTTTCTTACTGCCAACACTTTAAAAACACAATTTAACCTGCTCCTTCAGCTTTTGAAGGTTGAATTGACTTCTTTCTAAAGTTTAAGGCATGTTTTGATCAGTTCTAGTGTACCCTGATGTCTATAAAGCATTTGGCACTCATGGCCTTGCTTTGGTTGGCACTACCCATCCTGGTTCTACTTCACCTCTGTGACCACTTGTCACCTTTCTTCCCTTGTCCCCTCCTTGAGACTAGGGTGCTTCATGGTTCTGTTCACGCCAGCCTTCTCTCTGCTGTATGCAGTTTGTATCTTGGAGATGTCAGCCAGCCCCGTAGCATGGATACCAGCTATTAAAAAGGACTCCCAGCTAACTTGCCCAGCAATTACTGAGCAGAGGCACTATGCTAAGTACTAGACATTCAAAACTGATCAAAACTTAGGCTAATTTTGCAAAAAAAACTTACTGTTTATTAAAAGAAAGAGATATATATGTACCAAAGTCATTATTTCAGACAGCATTGTGTTTTAGAAAGAGCACTGGGTTTAATCAAAAGATAGGAATTTGAATTCAGATGCCACCTCTTACCATCTGGGTAACCTGGGTGTGAATTGTTTAACTTCTCTGAGCCTGTTTGTTCTTGTATTGCCTACGTCACTAGGTTGCTGTGAAGAATAAATGAATTATGGTTTCTAAACCTAGCCACCACCCTGGTATCTATCCTGAGCTGCATTTCCATTCACTTGTTCAACACCTCCCTAGCTTGTCAGACAAGCACCTCAAACATATGAAGTCTGAAATCAAAGTAATGACTCTTGATGGTCTCTTTTTCTGTTCTCAGTGATTCCTTGTTTTTATTTGCCTTTTTTGCTCATTGCAGCACTGTGCATTACTGCACTCGGATTCAGAGTATCAGGATCATTGATTCCTCCTTTCCATTAAAAACCTATATGATACCTTCATCTGCCACATCCATGTCTGTTTTTCCTTTACTTCATCATTTGCATCACATCTTTCCTTTTCATTTGCATTACCATAAACCCAATTCAAATCTCTTTCAAATCATACCTAGAATATTATGCCAACCTCCTAAATGGACTCGTTTACTTTGCATCCCACTCTGTGCACCTCATGAAGTGCCACTCCAGAAACCTTTAACAGCTCCCGCATTGCCTAGCAAATGACATCTATCCTCTTGGCTAGCATTTAAGGCCTCCCACCATCTGCTCCAGCCTAACTTTCTAGCCATAGCTCTTGCTATACTTTAACACAAACGCTGTGATCCGGTTAGTCTCTGACTCACCATTCCCTGATCGTGTGCTGCTAACCTTTACTCGTGCCATTTCCTCTATGTTCTTCCTTAATTTTTATCTGTTGAAATCTTCCCCATCTTTCAGAGCTTTCTCAAATGCAACCCAGTCTTGGATGGATCAAGGTGAAACTCCATAGTGTAAACATCACTAGATTCTCTGAGCTAGCCATTACTTCCCTCCCAGAATCATCTGCCACATTAATACCCTTCTTCTATTCCCGTGCTCCAACTCTAATAAAATTACTTTCATTTCCCCAGACCTAGCATAATCTTTCATAATTTCATCCAGTAAGTGTTTGCTAAATGAATGCTTCTTTTTTTTTTAATTTCTCTAACTAGAAGTCACCCTTTTATTTTGTTTTGTTTTGCTTTTTTAAAAATTTTTAAATTACAGTTTACATTCAGTATCATTTGTATCAGTTTCAGGGGTACAGCAAAGGCTAGACAACCGGCACCATACATAGTTTCCACAGTATTATTGGCCATATTTCCCTGCTCCACTCCACATCCCCATGACTGTTGTATAACTGCCAATCTGTACTTCTCAAAAAATGTGAACGCTTCACAAATTTGCATGTCATCCTTACACAGAGGCCATGCTCATCTTCCCTGGACCCTCCTGATTTTAGTATATGTGCTGCCGAAGCAAGTACTACACTTTTCTTTAGAAATGTGTTTATCACAGGACTTAGCGTGTCCTATATGAAACTTAGCAGGTACTACTTTCTCTTGTAGCTTTCTGTTCAATAAGGTACCTTCCCTCCTTGAAGGACAGAAACTATATCCTGTGTAACTTTGTGCTTTGCAGTAAGATGTGTACATTGAAGTATTAAAATATTCGCTAGTACTACTCACTCCTCATATATTAACTAGAAGCCCAGTGTAACCGAATGTCAACCTCCCCTTCCCCCGTGACCCATTGCCTGTCCGTGGCGTTCTCCCTCCATTCCAGGTCTCTGGGTGTACTTGTTCCTATTGCCTTTCCCTTCTGGGGAACGTCTTCTGGGCCTTCTCTTCACCATCTATTCCGTCTGGCTAATGAGGTGACTACTAAATTGAATGCCTAATTCAGACCTGGATGTTTACCTGTAACTGTGAATGTCGTTCAGGTCAAAAGTTAAGATACTAGAATTGTGATAACTTGTGCCTTTTTAAATCTCAGTCTTCAGTTTGGATTACCTTTTGATCCTAAAGTTGCTTGCGAGTCTTTTAGCCTGTTTCATTTTTTTTCAGGACTCTTGATTCTTCTAGAAAATATTTTGGGATTAATCTAAAAACTATTAAAACTTCTTTCCATAATTAACATAAATTAGCCTTATTTTTTGTTTCTTAATCTTATTTTACCATTTAAATACGTTGAAGAAATATTGATTATGGAAATTAATTCACTTTTGTCCCAACAGTGATATTGTGAAGAAGATTGATCAGTCTGAGTTTGAAGGCTTTGAGTACATCAATCCTCTTTTGATGTCTGCAGAAGAATGCGTCTGATCCTCGTTTCTCAACTGTGCATTTTGCTCGTGTTGCCATTTAATGCATGGAAAACTCATTACCAGCCTGGATATGATGAACCATTTGATATTTGCCAACTACAAAAAAGCGCTCAATATCTTGTGTTTGTTGACTGTAAGAGTCAATTATTACATATAAATTTAACTATGGGAAAAAAAAGCGACTAGTTTCCAGACAATCGTGTCAAAATTCATTTATACTGGTAGTCTAGCAGCCTACTGATGAGTAACAAAGTTGTCTTTTTCCTTTGAAGAAACTACTTACCACTGCTTTTAAAAAGGGTGTCTGTTGCATTAAGGCACATGGTGGTATTACATCATAAGCCTCTCTGTGATTTTTGTCATACTTCCTTCTAAGTATTTAATTTTGGAATAAAAAGATTAATTCAAAATATATTACCTGTTAGTGTATGAATTCTTTGTGTTTAAAAATTCAGCTGTAAATTTTATCATTGCCTTGGATAATTACTGATTTTTAAGGTAGCAATTGTTAAGTTGACTGGTAATAAGAGGTATTACTTGCTAAAAATTGGGGAATACAGATTCTTCTTGAGGAAAAAGGCACATTTTATTAAGAATCAGATTCCAAATCATTAGCTGTTTTTGAGTTCTTTTGTATATGAGGGGTTAGTTTCTGAGCTAGTCCCTTTAGCCAGAACTTTAGCTGGAATGTTAACACATGTAGTTCAAAGGATCCACGATATAGCTGAATGGAAAAGTTCTCATTATATAGGAAGGAAAAATAGAAACTTAAAGGATATATAAAAAAAGTGCAATGGTAATATTTATTTCTTATTGGAGAGTAAATCTCACAGTTGCTTTTGTGATTTGATTAAATAAGGAGGCACTTATTACAAAATTTGTAAAGGCATTCTATTTATCCAATGGAGACAGAATGTATACTATTTGCCCTTATAATTTAGTATACAAGAAAAGAATTTACCTTCCAAACAGTGTGTTAAACATACTTACTTCCTACCCCAAAATACATTATCCACACTTTTGGACCCTGCTTATGGAGTCTGCAGTGAAATCCATGAAAAATAATAAACATGAATAAGTGTTCAGGACCCACACATACACTCACATCACAGTGCCAACCCCTTTAGCGAGTTTTTGTTAAGTAGGTAACACACGTAATACAGAATACAGTACATTTCAGAGGCAGAGTTCTTCAGATTATGTTTTATTAATATTAGTGTTTAGGAATGTATTATGTAAAGGGATGCCAGAGATAGCATCCTTCTGTTATTTTAATTTTTTTTTTTTTTTAATGAAAAGGGACCTAAAAGTAACCACCATCATCTAAATTACTTATAATTCCCCAATCTTAGTAAAACTTAATTTTGGGGAAAGCTGTTGAGTCTTCCGCTTAGAATTACTTAAAATTTGTAGGCATTTAATATCTTCTTTTTTGGATGTTATATTTCATTAGAAATACAATTTTCCCAAAATTTCTGACCATGTACTCTTTTTATTTTATGATTTTTAAAAATTATTATTCTACAGAGTTTCTCTCATACACAAACATCAGTGTGAGAGAGAAACACTTATTGGTTGCTCCCCTTTACGTGCCCCGGCCGGGGATCAAATGCGCAACCTGGGTATGTGCCCTGCCAGGAATTGAACCCACCATCTTTTGGTGCATAGGACGATGCTCCAACCAACTGAGCCACACTGGCCAGGGCCTGTCTGGCCATGTAGTCTTTTCTTTAAATAATTATGTCTGAAAGCAATGAAAACCTCAAAGGAAAAATATTTATATCCACATGTTTCTCTTAATACCTGAAACTTGTTTTTAAAAAAAAGCAGTATTCACTTCAATCATAAACTTACAGAAAATTCGGACATATTATGGTACATGTTTATGATCTTGCTTTTAAGTGGTGCTGTTTCCCCTCGGGCATTAGTTCTAAAATTTTAGAATGTGGAATAAGTTTGTTTAAAAACACATTACTGGGCCTACCTTAGAATTCTGTTGGGTCTTTGGAACCATATTTTGAGGAAACTTTTGAGTCATTCTTTTATTTTTGTCCTGTGGTTAAATATTAGAAAGAGTACTCATGATAAAACATTTTGAGAAGAGGTAGGCAGTGAGTACTCTTTTACCTACTATTTTAAATACATTTTGAATGAATGACTTCCTCAAGTTAGATATCATCTCAAAAAAAATCCCATCAGTTTTCTATCAATGTTGCAAACGATAAGCATTTTTCTGTGATGAGGTTTTAGCCATTATTCAGGGTGGTCTTTAGTTTTTAATCCTTTTTTAAAATCTAAGATTTACTGTGTATATTTTATACAGAATTGCATTACAAATATGTTTCTAATTATGTTCTGTATTTTGTAGTCTTTAAGTGCCATGTCAATCTTTTTTATATTAAAGTTCTCTGAAAATACTCACCAGGGGAAAAAGGTATTTGACAGTCAGAATGGTTGGAATTTTGGTGTTCTAAGAAAAAATTTATTTTGTATAAGCATGTGGTCAGATCATTTTATGTGTACGCAGCCTGAATTGGCTATCAGGTATTTTGTTTATACATTTACTTTTAAAATTTTGTTTTGCTTTTGCCATGTAGAATACTGAATACTGCCTTGGTCATCATAATGTAGTCTGTATTTGTGTACCTTTTTTTTTTTACTTTAAAATTTTAAATAAAATGTTTTAATACCCATAAGATTGGAACGTTTTTAATTATGTAACATATCAAAACCTTGTTTAAGAAATATCACAACTTGTTCTAAAAGGAAAATGAGAATTTTAGGGTTTGGGATTTTGCTGTACTTCCAAAAGCATTCCTGTAGTGCTGGTGCCATATTGTAGTCATTCACTCATAAAATAGTCAGTATATTTTTAAACTTGCCTGTCTATGTATCTCTTTTATTAGAAAACAGATTAGTAAAAACAGATTCAGCTGAACACAGAGCATTTTAAGTAGTTTTAAAACGGAAGGAAATTTGAACAGAACAGATGAATCCCAAATTATGTTCTGCAGTGATCTATTGTAAAGTTCTAGAACTCCTTTCTCAGTTGTAGCTTAGTGTCCTTATGTAAATAAGTGTGAGCCTGGTGTCCCACATTTGCCACTCTATTGTTTCTTTCCCTTCACAAAAATAAAATCTTGAGTGCCTTTCTTTTTTTTTCTTAACTTGTCAGAAAGCTCTAGAGCCTGTGTAATAAAGCCACCAAAGGCTGATTTCATGAGTCCGTTATTTTATCTTTTAAAAAATTTTTTTATTGTTGAGAGTATTACAGATGTACCCCCGGTTGGCCCCCCATTGCTCCTCTCTACCTGGATCCCAGTGCACCCCCAGGTGTTATTTTTATCTTAAGGTCAACTCTTTCTCAAAATGGAGTTAAAAGCAGTGTTATCAAAGTACTATCCGGACTATCCCCTGTACCAAATCATAAATATATTTCCTTTGAGTTAGTAAAAGTCCAAAGAGGAGTTTGAAGTTTGAGGGAAGTTTTTCATTAGGCATTTAGTCACCGGGGGAGTCAACCAGTCTCTCCCTGGAAGGTAAAGCCAGTCTTCTGTCTTTAAAATTCAATAGGTTGCTTTCTGGACAACACCCAACAGTGAGCCATTTGCTGTATTTGATGGTCTCCCTTTGTAGAAATACCCTTCTCTGCGCTAGGACGTTAGTTAAAACCCAGATGCTGGTAGTCTGAGCAGTTTGTACTCAGAGCTTATTGTTCCTGAATATACTTGGAATTTACTATGCAAGGTGTTAAGTAAGGCTAATAAAAAGACAGAACCTCTACCCGTGACATTCGAGATGGATAATATACTGAGGAAGATGTTCGTCTTCACAACAAATAGTCCAGTGATAAAAGCCAAATAAATGCAGTAAAATATGGATTATGTGGTCATGATAGTTTATCACTTCACCAATAAAATTAGTTTTACTTGACATGTAATTGATCCATGCTAGACATTTTTCAGGTTTATGGTACATTCCACAAAGCTTTCAGAATTCAAATATGTATTAAGAATAAAATCTTACATGCCTGTATGTATTATATATACACTAAGGGCCCCATGCGCGAATTCGTGCACCTTGAATGGAACTCTGGGCTGCAAGGCTGTGGTGGGTACAGGGGCGGGTCTTGGCCCATCCTCTGCATCCCCACCCCGCCCTGCCTGCCACGGGCCCCTTGTCCTCTGTCTACCGGCAGCCCCACTTCCGCTGCTGCCGCTCCCATGTGCTGATGGCACCGGCCCCGCTGGCACCTGCTGACAAGATGGAGCAAATGGGGCCAATGCCAGCAGCAGGTGTGAGCGGGGCCTGCTGCCCCAATCGCCCCTCAGGAGCAGAGGCAGGTGGAGAAGCCCTCGGCGATCAGGGGTGGCAGTTGCCACTCACACCGCTGACAGTGCTGAGCGATTAGGGCTGGCGCTAGGCATCGGCAGTGGGTGCGAGCAGCGGCTCTGGCACTGGCCGTGGGTACGAGCAGGGCTGGCACGAGCGCTGGGTGGGACCGCAGCACGCAGGGGCAAAGAATTTTCAGTAACCACCAGAGGCTCGCCCCGATGACAGCGACCAGCACCCCGCCTTGGTCTAGCGCACCCGCTCACCTGCTCCACCATTCCACCATGGCTGATGCCTGCCATGTTCTGCTCTCTTCCGCCTGCTGCCGACACCCACCATGTTCCACGCATGCTCCCTGGTGGTCAGCGCATGTCGGGTGGTTCAGTTGTTCCACCGTTTGGTCTATTTGCATATTAGGGCCATACATATATATATGATTATTTTTGGCTTTTGAGCTCAGAAATATGAATTGGATTTTACATGGAAATGGGAGAGGAAATTGTCCAATGCTTCTGCTCAGATTAGGTTTTTATACAATCCACCTCTGAAATTTATAATTAGAAAGAATCCAGTTCAGAATTTGAGAGTGACTCTTGGATGTAAAATGTGACCACACAATTCACCTCCCTGTAGCAGTTTGTGCCTTACAGGTATAACAGTGTCCTTTTACTCCAATTATGGAAGAAAATGGAATTACCAGTATCTAAGAATTAAGTGGCTCTTTATTGTGACCTTTCAAAGTATATCTGAAACTTATAACTTAAGACAGATGGACTCACTCAAATTGAGAGAGCTGTAATTCGTTTTCATTGACAGTTTAGTCAGAAGCAAATGCTATTTGTGTAAGAAAGTCCATTGCAAGTCTCTAAAAAATTCTTGAAAAAATTAGATGCTTTGGTTTTTTTCCATAAAAGGGAAGTGCTGGGTTTCTAGAGGACTTGCCATGTAACGGTAATTGCCATTTAAAACTTACATGATATAAACTATCTGCAATGTGGGTGACTATCCTTGGTGACATTTTAACTTATACATAATATATTTAGGAGTACAATCATATAAAGGTAATTAAGTACAAGAGCCTAATT